GGAATGTGTTGGCCCTGCACTCTCACTATCACTCTTTTGAATGTCTCCAATTGCTGTCATGTGGATTTTTCTTCAAATAGCTGCTCCCAGTTCATTTTGGCCAGATCTTGTCTAATGTTCTTAAAATCAGCTTTTCCCCCTTTTCAGACCTTTAACTTTCCGTCTTTAGTGAGCCGGACATTCATTGCATTATCTCCAACACAACAGTTCCATAAGTACAGAGGCCAAAACTACACAGAATATTAAAGGCACAGTCTCATGAAAACCCTGTAGAATTGTAACAAAACTTTTTTATTCTTGTACTCCAATTCCCTTGCATTAAAGGCCAATGTATGTTGCTATCCTAATTGTTTCCTCTATCTGCATCCTGACATGTTTTTCTCTCTTTTATAAGTACAATCAACGCTCTGTGAAATCAACATCCACAAGTTTTTAAAATATTATTCTGGTTTTTTATTCCTATGACTAATGTAAATAATTACTCGCTTGCCCACAACATATTCCAAATGCACATAATTCTAAATTATTGCCCACTCACTTACCATGTCTCTATCATTTCGCAGCTTCTTTATGTCCTCCACACATCATGAATTCCTACCTAGCTTTGTATTGTTGGCAAGCTTTCATATATCACGGTTTCTGTGTCTAAGTTGTTCACATAGATTGTACATTGCTGAGACTCCAGCATTAATTCATGCACTATCAGTCACAGCCAGCCAATTTGAAAATGCTTCACCGATCCCTATCTGCTTCCTGACTGTAAACCAGGCCTTTACCCATGCTAATACCTCCAAATACACAAGCCCTTATTGTGTGTATTAGTTATTCATGTGGCATCTTATCAAATGGATTTTGGAAATCAAATATATTACGTTTACTGGTTCCCCAGAAAGCTGTAATGAACTTGTGAAACAGGATTTCCCTTTCGTTAAACCATGGTGACTTGTTCCAATTATACTATACTTTTCTAAGAACATTGGTAAGACTTTCTATTTTCAAATGGATCTTTTGCTATAATGTTACTAATTAACCTTGACTTCCTGCACGAGATTAGATCTTAAACAGCATTAGCCCAAGTTGATTGGCGATCAAGAAAACTGTTTGCTCTAGGATAATTGTCATAAAAGTATTTTATAAACTCATCTTCCAGACTATCCCTGCCTATTTGATTGGGAAACGTTGAAGTTTCCCAAAATCATAACATTGCTTTTGTTGCAAGCTCCAATTATTTGCTACCGCAAGTTCTTTCCAATGATATAACCACTGTCTGGGGCCCTATAAACTATGCCACCAGTCTCTTCTGATCCTTGCTATCCCATCTTGTAACCCATAAAGATATATTTTTTAAAAATTTTGAGCTAAGATTCTTTCACACAAATGTCCTCATGTTGTTCTTTACTAGAAGGGATACTTAACCTCCTTTCCCATTCTGCTGTTCTTTATGAACTGTTGTGGGCCCTGGGAAAATTATTTCCCAACCTTGGTCACTTTGTCCTCAGAGAACATAACAAGGCTCATGATTCACAGAGAGATCACAAGAACTGCAGATGCTGGAGTCAGAGAAAAGACAGTGTGGAGTTGGAGGAACACAGGAGGCCAGGCAGCAGAGGAACAGGAAAGTTCAAGGGTCCCGATCCAAAATGTCAACTTTCCTGCTCCTTTGATGCGGTCTGGCCTGCTGTGTTCTTCATGATTCACATAGCTACTTTGAGTCCCATGGAGAGGCATTTCAACAATCCTAGCAATTTGTTGGAGGTCTTCTCAAGACTCTGTGATCTCCTTTGCACACTGCAATCCGTAGCCATGATGCCAGCAGTCTGAGCTCTCATTGGTGTCATTGAGACACTGGTTGGCTGAAGCTGTGACATTAGTCATCTGATTGTGCATCATGTTTGGGTTCACCAGTGTGCAAAATTTGCCAGTACTTTCATGTCTGAAAGGATGAGGCCCAGGTTCTGTGCAAAATCCTGTGTCAAGTTAGTGCCGGACTCCTACACATTCCTTAACACTGACCGCAGGTTTTACCGCAGGCTTCCTAATGCACTAAGCGCTTTGTTTTATATCCATCAATCAAAATCCTCGTTGGCAGCCTCTGCAGTGAAACTTGTGTGCAACCTTAACCTCCTGTAAGCTGGCAGCTACTGATTGCAGTTTACTCATGTTACAGTAGCTCACCATGTGCAAATCACACTCTAATATAGCATCTAAGTTAGATGTAGTGCCGGTGTCTGAGCTTGAGGCTGCGAATGTGGAATTAATAGACAATACTGTGCCTTCTCATTACTCTCTTCTTGGTGTTCTTTCACTCATGGCCAAGCTGCTCTTCTTGAGTACTTTACAGCGTAAAGGCACAAGAAGCATGCACATTAGAAGTGTGTGTGATATGAGAGTCAAGTGGGATAATGAAGAAGAAGACTGGGAATACTGTGAGAATTCTGTCACTGCAATGGTTTCAGTCCTGCTGCTGGCCCTGGTCTCAGCAATGACAGTCAACGCAGTCTCCTTCATGGAGGTTAAAATATGAAGTTTCCCTCCTTTCGAGGTGCAGTTGCCTTTTCCTTCTATTTGATTGGATTTTTTCATGGGATGTGGGTGTCATTGGCAAGGACAGGACTTGCTGGCCAGTTAAGAGTCAACCACATTACTATGGATACAGTCACGTGTGAGCCAGACCAGACGAATACAGCAGAATTCATTCTCTAAAGTACATGAGCAAATCAGATGGGCATTACAACAATGATAGCTTCAAGTCTCCGTTACTGAGCCTGGCTTTCAATTCCAGATTTTGTTAATTCAATTTCTATTCCACCACCAACCATGATGCAACTTAAATATATGTCCACAACATTAGTTTTTGCTTCAACATTGTTAGTTCAGAGATGTTACTACTACACTATTGTCTCGTACCTCAGGTTATGTGCAACTTGCACTGGTAAGAAAGAGGCAACTGCATCAATGAGAGTCATGCAATCTGTTTTGCAATTATTGCTGTCATTATTGAATAGCTAGCAGTGCATAGGAAATGAGAGATGTGAACGTGAGGCTTGCAGTAGTGCTAACTGCGGAGAGAACATAGCGAAGCGTACGATTACTAAGTATAAGGTCTAATTGATAAGAGTTTGTTGATAAACAGTGATGGGATTTTGGTGATTTGAGCAATAGCTTACAATATAACATGCGTAGATGCGATTTCTGACAATGACCATTCCTGTGAGATCAACAAACATCTTGTGACAGTTTCCAAGTCCTGTTGCTCAACTCCTGTCAGCAATCTCCACTGCTGTGTTACCGCTGCCTTTTGACAGTGTGTCAGCAGGGTCCTGTTTTCCCTGACAAGTACAGGACTTTTCTCTTCCTTTCCACCAACTCCAATAAGATCTCTGAGTGCAGTGCCTGACTAACTTGGAGGCAATTTTTATTCCAATATCACTCATTCCTTCCTCTTCCAGAGGTTATATGCTCCTCAACCATGACCCTCAGCATCTGTTCCAAGAACAATTCATCTCTCCTTTAAGGGATGCAAGCTGGCTTTGAATGATATGAAAACAAAGTGCCGGGTGTCTGGGAGCAGGGCAGGCAGTATCGGTGGAGTGAGAAACAGAGTTAATGTTTCAAATCCAGTGATGCTCCTTCAGGCTGTAAATTTTTTTTTAATGCTGTTTACAAAGAGGTTGGAGGACTGAGTGGAATTTATGGTCAGAGTGCCCAGAGCAAAAGACAAAGTAAGTGTTGATGGTAGCAAATGAAAGATTGAGATGCAAGGTAAGTGTTAATGATGGCAGAAAATAAGTCAGCTCTGCTGAGACCAAACCCATGCAAAGACAACATGGAGGATAATCATAATCTAAGTGGCACCTTACAGCCTTCAGCAAATAACACGGAGTTCAATAATTTCAATAACGCTGTCTATTGTTTTGATAACAGCCTTCCAAAGGATCAGAGATTATTCAAATAAAATTGCAACACAAAGTTGACCAGCTACCTGCATCAGAATCATCCACCTCATTGTGGTTAATTGGGCATTGCAATCCCTGTTTCTGACAACTATCCAACTTCTTCCTACCCTGAGAATCATTGAGCAGAGAGCACAAAACCTAGACATTCTCACCTCAATAATTTATTTTACATAGGTCCCCAAGAAGCAACTTGAATATTAATGTGTACCTTGAAGCCCAAGTATTAAAAACTTTGTGGTAGTTTTTGAATTTTTTTTAAACTAAAGTCAATACATCTTTAGACCACACAGAAGAAAAATGTAGCTCCAATTCCTAATCTCTGCTGAGTTGGTGCATCTCAGCAAACGCAGCATTTGGGGCACCAAAGCTCGCCCCAATAGCACTAGAGGGTTTCAAAAAGGAAGTCAGTCAGGATTAACCATTTTGATTGCTTTCTCGTGACCCACCCTGAAAATAAAGAGTCAGGCAAGGGTCTTTCTAGCATCGATACTGCAAAGAACTATAGCCATGTTAGCTTTCATAGCCAAATAGTCTGCCTTGTGTTACAGATGAAGAATAGCCAATTTGAGCAAAGCATTGAAGGGCTGCTGGCAAGCACAGAACTACATCCAGCAGAAGTCAGGTTAGAGAAATGAAAACGGTAAGCAAGTTGAATTTCACAAAAAATTCACTTCTTTTTCCTAAACTCAGTAAAGGAACTGTCTCAAACATAGCAGGCATAGGTAATATTGAACTAAAAGATTACAACCTGGCCAGGTTCATGAAGCCATGCAGGTAGTGCTGAGTAAAAGTTATAAGCTCAGAATTGGGTTATTTCACAGTACATAATGGGCAGCATGTAGATGCTAAAATCAGACTGACAGGAATAGGTAACATTTTTAAAGTGCAGATGTTTTACCACCAGCACTCTTCAAATTAAACCAAATATCAAAACATCTCCACATCCAGGCGTCACTGTGTAATCTCTGGTCTTGCTATTTCACTTAACAGCTCAACATTGGTGTCAATTAGACTGCAATTATTTTAATATAACGTTCTACTTACATTCAAAATTCACAAGCCAGCAGCCAGAGACAATCCCCGTCAAACACTTCATGGTAGAGAGAGCATGGTCATTGGGAACAATAATGTGCGTCACTAAAAGCAAACAGGAAATCAAAACACTTGGTTAAAAATACCTACAAAAAAACTATAACATAATATATCATTATCTTACTTTTCCTGTGAACTTCACAGTTTGCAGGTCAGGCTCTGATAGTTCAGATAATAGGATTTGTCCATTCATAAAAGATAAAGTGAAGCAGCCATGACAACCAAGCTGAATCACATCAAGGACAAAGGCTCTTAAAAACTACTTTTCATTATATTACCTAATTAAACAGTGATGTGCTGCAGAATTTTCTGCAATCACCTGCGAATATTAAAGACTGGTAACTGAAAAACAGGAGCACTCAGAGGACCCATCAAGAAATGACTGCAACACAAGACACACGCAACTAAAAAACTCATAGCCAACGCAGCACTGTTGATCCTCTGATAAAATACAATCGTTATTGGTGTATAACTTGTCTTGGAGATCGGTCACTCTACTTTAGAAATTAGAGGTCATTAGACTCTAAGTTCTTTCCAAGTACAGTTATACTACATACATCCAGGTTTAGCACAAGTCCAAATGCTGCTTCTCTCTTCAGTGTCTTTCCGTTTTCATACGCCCAATCAATCATATCATCACTGGCACAGCTTCCTATTTACAAGGTCATGGTTTGAACAAGGAATCCCAAAAGACAACACTCCTGCTCAACCACAATCGCCCCCCAACCCCAGTCCTTCATTTTCCTGGGGTGCCTGCTGCTGCCAATGGCAGTAACAACGTAAGCCAGCTGCTGCATACAGAGCTCAGCCCTCTGGAAATTACTGTAGAAGCTGAGACTGTGATCTGTCTTAACTCTACAGGAAAACCTCAGGACCACTTCCTTTTAATGCCTCCTGTGCACCGGTTCTCTCATCTTTCCTGAGATTATAGTATGTATTTTGGCAATGATACAAAATCAGTTCACAATACAAATACTTTGGGATTGAATTTCATGCAAATAGGAGTCAAAAAGTAATTTTACCAGAGATTTGACAGAAGGGATGAGAAAGTGTAATTGAGTATCAGCTGATCTAAAGGCACTGAGCCTAACAATACAATAATGATGTTGAAATACCTGAAAAAGCATTTACAGGATGCCTGCAAGATTAATTAGCATAACAACATCAAGAATATATCATAAAATTCTACAGTGCTGAAGGCCAACAGATCCATTGCACTATTGCTGGCTCTCTCAAGTAGCTTTGTGTTTTGTTCCACTATTTTTCCAACGCACTTTTTTTCTTAAATACTTATTTCAGTTCCTTGAAAACTCATATGGATTGTGCTTCCAATGGTGGAAATATTTTTCCCTCAAGTTGTCTTCTGAAAGGACATCATACTTTGACATTTCAATCAGGTTTACTCATAAGCTTTCCCTGTTAAGTGAGAAGAGTCACAAGGTTTTTTTTTAAAATCTCCCACCTTCGTGACCTTGAGATCCTTCCAAAAGTAAGATGCACAAAAATGGATATAATATTAACTGTTGCCTTACCAATGATTTGTAAAAATTTGAGATAAGCTATAGAGTAGAAAGCAAGGTTATTTATAACGTCAAGGCTTGTAATATCTTTTCTCATGGTTAGGAGTTCACTTGTTGATAATGTCTGTGAAACATCTTAAATGCTTCTGTATGCTCAACATGGTTTTGACATAGCAAATCTCAAATTGTTTTCTATTTTTAATGATTTTCCTTCTAAAATTCAAACTGTCTAATGTCTTAAATATACATTTCCACATTAGTTTTTCTTTGCCATTTACTTTTCTCTCTGCATACATTTCATCTCATCCCTTTCTGCCAATACCATCATGAAGTCTCTTACTGGTGCCCCTAAACTCAAGAAAAGATGTCTGAACAGACAGCAGGAATTACTTCTTTGTATGAAACAGAAGTCTGTATTGTTTCAGGAAATCGGGCGAAGCAGCAGCTCAGCATGAGACCTGTGAAATGTGAACTAGAGAATAGCTTTTAGTCAACATAACCTTGTCTGGCAGAAGGGACAATATCCTCTAGTGTTCAATTTCTCCCAGCAGCACCTGATGAGAAAGTACTAATTTGTACTCTGTACCATTCACAATACTCTTTGCTTAGCCAAGGGCAGTTGCACCATCAACTGCCTCAGCCCTGAGCTCTGAAATTCCCTCTTTAAATCTCTTGGTCTCTATTTACTACAGGATGCATACTGTCTTTGACCAATCTTTTAGTCATTGATCCTATTGCTCACTTTTGTGGCTCAATATACTCTCGCAAAATACTTTGGGATGATTTATTACAGTAAGAGTTGTATAAAATACAAGTTGTTGTTTTAGAAACCGATTGAATGAAAAGTGAATTCAAAATCTAACAAACCTCAAAATCTGAAATAATGGGCACATATTTAAATCAGGTGAAAATTACATCAAATTTGAACAGAAAAAATAAATCATTTGTCATTAAAGATTTACAGCAACTGTTCCTGATGGCTAACCTGGACATAAACCTAGTTACACAATTGAAATGCTCTCGGTTTAATCTCAATCTGGGATAAAATTGATGCTTTTTGACAGAAGTTGAGTACCATATCTGGGTTCTGATGAAAGATCATTCGACCTGAAACATTAACTTCATTTCTTTCCACAGATGCTGCCTACCTGGAGGCTTTTCTCTTTTTTTATGTTTTATTTCTGATGTTCAGCATCTGCAATATTTTAAGATGACCACTAGTGTTGTTGATGCTGAAAGAAGAGGGAGAGAAATACAATTCAGTGACCCAAGTTGGAAAGGTTAGAAGTGGACACTAGATGAGGTCATCATCAGGCTCAGTTGCAGCACCTCCCGTAGTTAAATAACTTGGCGACATAAAGTGTTCAGGCAATAGCAAAGTAGCGGAAGACAAATCAGTGTAGCAAGAGCCAAATCCTAATGTGGGCAAAACAAACTTATCAAAATATATTAAAATTCATTACATATGTGAGGTTTTACAAGATGGTAATGTTTCAAACTCTCTCCTTTAAAGTCAACATGGAGTTTTAAGTGCTGCCAGGTGACCTGGTTGCCATGGGAACGGGGGGCCCAATGTAAGTCCTACTGAAAATCAAGTGCATGTTTCACACTTGAACAGACAACAACTGTGCCTGTTGCATTCAGACATCCTGGATGGAGATAGTCTGTCCAGAGACAGAAAAAGAGATAGACAAAGATGAAACAAGAGAGCGAGAGTGAGAAAAAAGAGAGGGGGAGAGAGAGAGAAAGGCAAGGAGCAGCTGCTGTGAACAGCATTGGTAAGTGGTTACTCTGTTAGCCACCATGCAAAATGCGAATGGGAGCTCAATCTCTGGTCAAAGAAACAGGGACAGATGGGAATTTAAGGATACTGGAAAATTCATCCTGGTGTGGCTAAGAGAAGGAATTCCCTTGGTGGACCATTCTGCTGAAAATCACTTTGGGAACTGTCAGAAGATCAAGATTTTTGATGGACGCTGGTTGTAACGGGGAGAAGCAAACACATGGAAGCTGGTTTGGATTTATCCCTGTGGAGACTAGTGCTGCAGAGAATGAGGTGTAACATAAAAAACAGAGTGGAGGTTTTTGACTGTGTTAGGAAGTTAAGGTTTTGGAATTTCTATTCTGCAGTTGACTTGGCAGCCAATTAATACACTCATGTTTAGTCAAAGTAGATTTTACTTAGTTACAGTAAAAACCTTGAAATATGAAGTCTTGTTGTTTGATCCTTTGAGTCAGTCATTGGGAATTCACAGAACTGTCACAGCACAGGAGGCCATTCAGCCCATCACATCATCTGGCTCTACAATGAACATATTGCTTTGTGCCGTTCTCTTGTCTTTAACCCTTAACCCTGCATATTGCTCCTTTTCAAATAATCATCTCATTCTTTTTTGAAAGCCTCAAATGAACCTGTCTCCACCATGCTTTGAGGCAGTGTATACCAGACCCTAACTACTCTGGGCAAAAAAGATTTTCCTCTCATTATTTTGCTTCTTTATTAATTACTTCAAATCTGCACCCTTTTGTTCTTGATATTTTCACACGTGGGAACATTTTCTACTTGCTCTGTTCAGCCCTCTCACGATTTTGAACACTTTGATCAGATCTCCCTCCGGCCTTTCCTTCTCCAAGGGGAGAAAGAGGACCGTAAGAGTTTCTTTAGATAAATAAAGGGCAAAAGAGAGGCAGAAGTGGGCATTGGACTACTGGAAAATGACTCTGGAAAGATAGTAGTGGGGAACAAAGAACTGAGGAACTGAATAATTACTTTGTGTCAGTCTTAACAGTGGAAGACACGAGTAATATCCCAAAAATTGGAAAGTCAGGGGGCAGAGCTGAGTATGGAGGCCATTACCAAGGAGAAGGTGCTAGAAGAACTGAATGGCCTGAAGGTGGATAAATCACTAGGGCCAAATGGACTACACCCCAGCGTTCTGAAGGAGATAGCTGAAGAGATAGTGGAGGCATTAGTGGCTATCTTTCCGGAATTGCTAAAGTCAGGGAGGGTCTCAGAAGACTGGAAAATCGCTAACGTGATACCCCTGTTTAAAAAGGGAGTAAGGCAAAAGACTGAAAATTACAGGTTGATTAGCCTAACCTTGGCCGTGGTTAAGATTTTAGAGTCCATCGTGAAGGATAAGATTTCTGAATATTTGGAAGTGCATAACAAAATAGGGCAAAGTCAGCACGGCTTCATCAAGGTGAGGTCATGCCTGACAAATCTGTTAGAATTCTTTGAGGAAGTAATGAGCAGGTTAGACCATGGAGAGCAAATGGATGTTATCTGCCTGAACTTCAAGAATGCCTTTGACAAGGTGCTGCACAGGAGGGTGCTGAGTAAGATAAGACTCCATGGTGTTAGAGGCAAGGTGCTAGCATGGATAGAAGATTGGCGGTCCGGCAGAAAGCGGAGAGTGGGGATAAAAGGGTTTTTCTCAGGATGACAGCCTGGTGTTCCACAAGGGTCAGTGTTGGGACAACTTTTCACTTTAAACAATAATAATCTAGATGAAGGAACTGAGG